CCCATATACTGCATAGTAGTTGTTTTTTGTGCAGGCCATGTAAATAAGGCAGAAATAGTTTTTTGTTAAAGTTGTAGGGTTCCCCATAATTAATAACAGGCACTTCAAGTGGTTTTAAATGCGGAAGGTTTTTTTTTTACTTTAATGCATTAAGGTAAAAAACCTTTCACTGTATGTGCCTTGACCCTCTCTAAACATTTACCTGACACCACTCTCAATCCAGCTCTCTTCCCGACTGCAGCCCTACTCTGCTCTCTTCCTGCATTCATGAGCTTTAGTGAGAGTAATGGGAACCATTGGCTCCTTCTGTCAGATCCTGTAAGGAGGGAGCGGAGGACTGGGCCAAACTGCACTGTGTATGTCTATGGAAGCACACAGCCTGGCTAGTGGCTTGCTATGGGGTTATTCGGAAAAGAGGAGCAGTGGACAGCACAACAGGGGACCCCAGAAGAGAAGATTCAGGGCCACTCTGTACAATACAATTGCACAGAGCAGGTAAATATAACATGCTTGATACTTTATTTATTAAAAAAAGGAGCTTTAAAATCACTGTCAGGTCTGCTATGACCTGTCGAAATGCTGTCACAATTCTCCCCCTATGACTGCTCATCCCACCATATGGTTATGTCCATATCAGGCCAACGACATCACTTGGGAGACCTAGCCCCTTTGTAGTTATCCATGGAGGTTGTCATTCAGGGGCATGCATTTCTCAGGAGTGGGCTTTTTATTCTTTGTTGGTCATTGGGTGTAGTTCATTGTGATTGATATGGCTCTGCATCATTGGACAATGACTGACAATGGATTTACATTGTAGGACTTTTTTTTCTAATTGGAGGATTTGTCAAATTGTATGTGTGTTTTTATGTACTTTATTTGTGTACAAAGTACCCCTTACTCATTCACATAAAGGCTGGTGCCTGGGGCCCCTTATTGTTAAAGGGGGCTTCCAGATTCCAATAAGCTACTTGCCTGCATACCCACTCAACCACCTGGCCAGGTTGAGGGGAAGCAGCCTTTATCTTCATCACCATGTCTATGTCCCCATGTTAAAGTGGTAGTAAAGTCCATTTGTTTATGTTTTACCTACAGTTAAGTTTATAATAAGGCTTACCTGTAGGTACTGTAAATATCTCCTACACATGCACAATTTAGCAGATATCTACTTGTGTAGTAGCCGGTGACATCACCGGTACATGCGCTCTGAAGGAATGGAATGGCATTTGCTCATCATCTCCTTTCCTGGACTGCCAGGCTGCATGCTCAGGTAAGGGTCTTATATGGATATTTGGGGGACCCCACACTTTTTTCTTGTGTGGGTCAAAATTCTAACCAAGCCTAGCATAAACTGGGGGGGAGGGGAACACCAACACTGTTTTGATTTTTTTTTTTTTTTTTTTAACTATCATTGACTTTCTTACTTACATGCAAAATGTTCACATCTTATTTCTACCAAGTATGAAATAACATTCTCAGTATAAAATAACTAAACAATATATAAATATTGTTGCAAGAAGAAAGACCCAAATCCATAAATTTCAACTTTCCACTCTACCTTAGCTCTAACAGGACTAGGAAAGGGCAGAGAAAACCCCCAAGAACCATGATTCTGCCCACAAGAAGGTGAAAGTCCTTACTGACTCCAAGGTATAAGCAGCATTCACTTCATCATTTTCGACCGATCGGCTTGACCAAGTTTTCCTAACAGGAACAATTAAACTCATTTTACTCCAGGAATGTACATTCCACCTCCTGCACACTTTGTTTGTTTTGCAATTACAGTGCTTTGTTTTTTTTATCATTTCTCCAATAAAAGGTTTTGCAGGGTAACCAGATATCGATTAAGCAATCCTTGTGTTTTCAAAGTCCACAATGAAAGTGGGAAAACAATGATCCCTACAGTGTTGACCACAGCAGTGGGCTGATGAAAGCTGTGGGTAATGAATGTCATTATGATTACAGAGCCTCTCTACGTACACATTGATTGGCTGTGCAGAGGGGAAGCTAGATCTACTTGGCTTAATTCTCCCAGTGATGAAGATTTATGTATATTTTAGAAATATTATTTTTAAGGCTTACTGCTATATGTCTTTCTCAGACCAAGTAAATGTCAGAGAGAAAAATCCCACATACATAGGCTGGGGTGGAACCCAAATTTTTAAGTGACTTCATTTTGTTAAGAATCTGGAACCCTTGAGATTTAGGGCTCATGCACACTGGACATTTTTGCTCTCTCCCCTAAAAGCCTTTTCTCCTGGCAGTGGTGTTTTGGCATGCTTGATGTCTATAAAGCGTGTAACACGTTTAGGTACCTTTTAGGAGCGTCAAGCACTTGGACATTAATTCATTTCATTGGCCAGAATAATAATTTATTCTGGCCATTGAAATGAATTAATGTTCATTCTCTAAACATGCCTTACATTACACTCGTTTACAGTCGTCAAGCATTTTGTTCTGCCAAAACACCACTGCTCTTGGACACGCTGGCAGTGTTTTATTTTTCTGCAGCTAAACACTCCAGCCCCTAAACTCCTCTAAATGCCTATATGTGCATGGACACATTTATTATATTAAAAGCTGTGCTTTCAGCCTGTAGGCAGGTGCAGAATCAGTTCTCCACTGTAGATGGCACTCAACCTGGAGCAAGACTGCAGCTGGAGTGGAAGTCAAGAGAAACCTGGTTTCCCTATGGTTTCCTTGGTCTCCTGAGGCAGTGTTATGGTTGGCCATGCACATATAGGTGACCTAGGCGGTCATCCTGTGTCAGCAGAGCCTTTTTAAGTGCCTGTCCCCTGGCTTTGGAGCACTTTTTGGGATTGGATAGCATAGGGAAAGAGCACCGGTCTGTCAGGGAGAGTGATTAGCGGCAAGTAAAGGTTCCAGATGAGTATGGACAGGCTAGGGACATGCAATCCTGCATCAGAATCCTCCCCATTGGGCTTGGAGTGGCCAGGCCGCATTCTGCCCTCGGAGACAGAAGCTGCTGGTACATCAGACTCCCTCTCCTCTGCAGGTTTACACAGAACTGTGAGTGTACCCAGCTGGATACTTCCCCACTGGGCTGTATGTAAATTTGGGACGTTCCTTCTATATAGAATTTATTTGCAACCGGACCCAGTGTGTTCACTGCCTTCGCACCACGTTGCACTTACCTACAAGCCTGTAAAAAAAATATTCCTGATTTAGCCCTAAGAGCTGATTTTGAAAATATGTTTTTTTCTTAGTACAGGTTTTGACTATTTATTTTATTTCAAGTTGTTAAATTTTACTAACAACAGAAGCCTTTCGTCAAATCACCTTGCTCACATTCTTTGAAGAGCTGAAAATCCATCTTCTATGTTACTGTGGCAAAAGTTACTGTAATGGTAATGTGTACTGAACCTTCACAAAGCTGTGTGGAAGGGCAAGGATGCCATGTTGTTCAGATTCAGCCATGACAGTTTGTAGCACAAGTTGGTGAATAGCAGCAGTGGTTTCATTCTCTTCATCCCCCCAGGAAGCCTCTGGTGCAATACACAACTATTAACTGATCCCAGAGCCTTCTTATCAGACCAGAACAGATACAGGCCCTCTCATGCCTATTAGGCCAATCCCCCATTCCAGTCTGAAAACCCTAATAAAACTGTCACCCTCGCAAGCTTGAGCATTTCGGAGACCTAACAGACCTTTGGTGATAAATACCCTAGTGGAATACACATATCTGATAGATCACCCCAAGATTCTAAAAAACTGCAGCATGTTTCATACCTTCTGAAATTATGACAGTATAGCCAGAATAAAGTCTTATTCACCTTCATCTGTTATTGGGTAGCATTTTGAACCCAACCCCCCCCATGCCAGTAGGTACCAGAGTGGATTAGGCCTCCACACCCCCTCCTATGAGAAATGGATATCCGAGACCTGCCATATTTATATCCATTTTGAAGCTAATTTCATTCTGAGCAATAAACTGCATGGTAGCAGGCTGTAAATGGTAGGTATTCAGAAATATGAATACTTATACCAGACTGTATTTAGGACTTGGTCATAAATGTGATGACCTCCCAGCACCCACCCTTTAACCCAGATGATTGGTTAGATGCTCTCTGTCAACACCCCCCTTGATGTCAGATAAAAAAAGAGATTGCAAGTAGATCTGACAGCTTTCATTTTAACATCAGCCAAGGAACACCTAACTGGACTTGAGAGAACCACTGTACTGTTTTTGATGGATCAATTGGACTTGCTAAAACTAAGAACTTTGCAAGTATTCTATCCACCATCTTGTCATTGTTTTTATCCATTTCTTTTGAATAAATAACTGGAAATATTGCACTTAGAAGTTTCTTCTTGCCTTCCTCTCCTTCCATATAGAGTTTTGCTTCTACTCTCAGAAGTGCTGCCTCAGTGTTGTTCTCCAGTCTATGACACACAGCGCCCCTCATCCTCAGCATGCGAATGGTCTTTATGTGCAGATGCGCCTTATGTACTCCTCCTTGTCTGAACTTAACCCAGTGGCAATCGCTCTCAGGCTGCTGGCACCTAGATGTTTGGTGCAGCTGAGAATGGAATTGTTACGTAAGTGACAGCGCAGTGTGAGCTTGGCCAGTCCTTTGTCACGAGTTGGTGAGAAGGGCAGGGGTTGGGCACCATGTTCATCACAGTTCCATTTTTTTTTTGTAGAAAAATAGGTTTATTTTAGCAAAATTAATTCACTGAAACCACTGCCCAAAACACAAAAAGATCCCCCCCCCCGCTCAAAAATCCACTTAAATTATTTAAATATTCACTTTGAATATCTACAAGTAACTACGGGCACTTAAAAACAGGAACTGACATATTTATAACTTTCTAGATATTTTTAAAATATGGCCCATTTGAAGTATGTTTTGTATAATCATGCAGGTTCATGACACAGGTGACATGGCATTTCCTGCAGCATTAATATAAACCATGCTATGACTATTACCTGAAATATGGTACTTATCTTATCATAAGCAAACACGTCATATTTTTCCTACCTGCTCTGGTGACTCCCTTTTCAGCCAACCGTAAAAGGCCTTTTTTCTTCATGATGAAACTTGACCCGATGAAAATGCTGGAGCTTACTGCTAATATTAAACCAATGTAAAGGTTGTATTTGCTCCCAAATGATGTTGCAATGCTCAGGTTTGTCTCGTTGCTGGATTGGCTGCTGTTCTGTACAGAGATGAATGATGAGGGGCTTTCTGTTGTGTTCATTATTAGGCACCATACTTTGGAAATGCTGTGAGGACACATCAACGACAACAAATCTCCTAGAATAAGAACACATATATAATATTGTTATTTTTATAGTAGCCAGCTATGAAGTAAACAAAAGCTCATCTGCGCCAAGCCATAGGATAAAGAGCAACATGTACCGTACAGTATCCCAGTCGACCAGTTATGACACATTTTCATTTCAGTAAATTGAGTAGTGATTGGTTTGAGGTCATTATAGTTTTTTACAATGCTATGATAAATAATACTTGGAGTGTTGTTAACAGTGGACCACACAATTAAATGTGGTCCCCAGACCTACAGCAACCACTGAAGTTCTCCTCCTTGTTTTTTTTTTTTTTATTACAGAATAACAGTCTTTACCAACCAGGGTCCTATGGAACTCCAGGGTTTCTCCAGAGGTTTCTAGGGGTTCCTTAAAGGGTTAGTCCACATTTACCAAAGAACTGACAATGCAGATAAGGGACATCTGTTTAGCTCTAACTATAGTAGACTAATGCCCTTACTATGGGTGTAGGCCATTTACACACTTCAAGAAGCCTGACAGGAATACTCCCAGGATGTTTCTAGGACATTAGAAAGCGAGGCCTAGTCATTACTGCTCACTTCCACCATCACAGGATTGAGCTCTCAAATGCTGAGCTTACAACTACTCCATCAGGGGAGAAAGCGAGCATGTGAGGGGGTTTGAATCAGAGAAAAAGCTCACTGCTATGATGGAGGCGGTGAGCAGTAACAAGTAGGCTTTGCTTAGCAAGGTCCAAGAGTATTCCACTCAGGCTTCATGATGTATGCAAATGTCCGACACCTATAGCAAGGGCATTATTCATCTTTAGTCAGAGCTGCATGGTTTGTTTTTATCTACAAACACTCACCTGCATAAGCAGTTTTTTTGCAAAGGTGAACTAACTCTTTCAGCAATTTCTGCCTCTCTGATGAATAACCACTGAAACCAGTGATGCTTTTAGCTTTCTGTAAGGGGGTGATTCTTTCCAATAACCACAAATGTAAGAAGCATTCTTTTCAATGACCGTCACGTTCATCTACCATGAACTAGGGATGTGAACGATGGAAAAATTAGTTTAGTTTTGATTTAATTTGTTAAGTAAATCACTTAATTTAGCCACAATCGGGAGAGTATATATTCACTGTTCCGAATCAATTTGTATTTTCGGAAGTTCTGTTATTCTTTTGTTATTTCAAAAGATTGGGTATATTCGTTGTAATGTAGTTCATCAATACGTATTCATTTGCAAGTTGAAAGCATTTTCCCATTCCCAACTTACCTTGTTTAGTGGGCTGTGCACACACAAATTAAATCTCAAATTCTCCTCCAATACAAAAATAATCTTATTAGAATATTCATGCTATGCATGCTAGAATAAAAAACAAATGGATCTGAATCAATTCAGATAATTCTTTATGCCATTATGTTATTCCGGATGCTTCAAACAATAAAGTGTTACTAAATACAGGACCCTGCATTCAGTATATTTGGTCTCCCACAGTACACACTACATGAAAATGCAATTATTTTAGTAAATATAAACTGCTAAATACCTTTTCTTATCAGCAGGTAGAGCAGTCTTGTGTCTTCTATCAGTGTCCAGCAGAGCATTGGTTAAAGCTTATAGGAGGAGTTTTCATTCTCTCTTGAATGTCCTATCAGGCTGCATAACCCCTGATCCTCTGTCTGGACAGTGCTAATTGGCCCTGTGCTTATCACATGCACCCTCCCAAGAAAAGAAAAACCCTCTCTAGCAATACACACCAAACTGAGCATGTGCAGCTTGCCCTCAAGGCACTGTTCTACCAGCAGATGGATTGGGGACAGTAGAAGAACAGGAGGATCAGAGAAGTCAGGATCAAACAACCTTTTTACACAATGCAGAGGATTAACCCCTTAGGTTCCATAGTGAGTATGCAGACTTGTGGGTTTAGTAACACTTTTAACAAAAGGCCCAAACTATTGCATCATGTTGCAAAAACTAATGAATACGAATACATTTGTTTTCATTATAATTTACTTCATATTAGTTGAAATTCCTTAGTATTTTGGTTGAGAGAGTTGGATACATCCGAATCTCCAAATCACGCAAATTTTATCTGAATTTCGATTTGTAATGAAATGAATTGCACATCTACCATGAACTGTAGATGTAAGTACAGTGGGGATCGAAAGTTTGGGCACCCCAGCTAAAAATTTGTATTAATGTGCATAAAAGAAGCCAAGGAAAGATGGAAAAATCTCCAAAAGGCATCAAATTACAGATTAGATATTCTTATAATATGTCAACAAAAGTTAGATTTTATTTCCATCATTTACACTTTCAAAATAACAGAAAACCAAAAAATGGCGTCTGCAAAAGTTTGGGCACCCTGCAGAGTTAATATCTTGTACTGCCCCCTTTGGCAAGTATCACAGCTTGTAAACGCTTTTTGTAGCCAGCCAAGAGTCTTTCAATTCTTGTTTGAGGTATCTTTGCCCATTCTTCCTTACAAAAGTCTTCCAGTTCTTTGAAATTTCTGGGCTGTCTGTCACACACTGCTCTTTTAAGGTCTAGCCATAGATTTTCAATTATGTTGAGGTCAGGAGATTGTGAAGGCCATGGCAAAACCTTCAGTTTACGCCTCTTGATGTAATCCCCCGTGGATTTCGAGGTGTGTTTAGGATCATTATCCATTTGTAGAAGCCATCCTCTCTTTAACTTCAGCTTTTTCACAGGTGGCATCAAGTTACCATCCAAAATTTGCTTTGGAAAGTTTGGAGACCCCTGCTCTATATATTACATTATTGTATATGCTGCTGATAATGAGGCCCAGAATGATTCAAAAGATATACAGGCAGGGTTTTAACAAGGCTGCCTTCTCAAATAATTTTTAATTTTTGCTTTCATATGCAGCTGCACTAAACTGATTACAATATAACACAACCAAGGTTGTGATGAGTCAGAATGAAGTCTGCCTGTAGGCCTTGTTCACATCTGTAGCCGGGAGCTGGCTAAAATAGGCATTTGGGCAGGGGGTTACACATGTTGTGGCCTTGATACTTTGCGGCATGGCTGTGGCAAAAGGTATAGCCCATTTCACAATCAGAGGGCTCTACTGCAGTATCACCAAGGCATTTTTCAGCGGGAACATGGTGGAACACACAGCACCTTCAGCACTGAATGCATGTAAAGGGAAGGAGTGCTGGGGTGTGGTAAGGGGGGTATTGATGCTGGCTGCTTGGGGATCTATTGTCGCTGGGGGGATCTATTGTCACTGGGGAAGTTTATTGTTTCTGGATCCAACAAGGGATCTATTATTGCTGGTGGGTCAACTGTTGCTGGGAGAGATCTACTGTACTATTACTGGCAGGGATCAATTGTTGTTGGTAGTCTATTGTGGACCAATTGTTGCTGGGGGTGTATTTTTTTGAGGAGGGGATCTGTTGTTGCTAGGGGGATCTATTGTTGCTTACTGCATGGAATCTATTTTACTGCTTTTTTTGTTATTGTTTACACATTCCATATAAATTACTTAGCACCACAAATTCCACGTGGTTCTGTATTCTCTAAAAGGGGCGGCACTGGGAGATGGAACAAAAAGTTAGTGCTCAGAGGGGGGTAGGGGGCAGAGACAAGGGGTAACTTGGAAGGAAGCGAGTAACTACTTTCCTGAGAAAAAAAGCCCAAAACTGACCCATTCAAGTGAATGTTTGTAATGCCATGCAGCATGGCACTATGGTAACTCAAGAACACAAACAGTGAAGAGATGACACATCACCTTCCAACCCCATCAACTGCTGCTGAGAAGCACTTTTCAGAGGGGGTGTAAACCCTGCCGTATACTTGAGACCTTAAAGGAACCATCCACATTTGCCTTTGTAGGGTTTAAACTCAATTTAAGCAGCAAACAAGACAATCTTCTTTTTTCTTTGACCAGTTTATTATTCTCTGCAGAAACAGGGGCTTGGCTGTGTAGGAGTGGGGACAAAGGTGTTACTGCGATAGTCTCATACAATAAATACATCTGTCTCTGCAGGTGTCACACACAGGCATTCCACAACTGCCAGTTACCATAGATGGTGTATGATCACAAGAAAATGTGCGGATATTCCTGAGGAGGGATCATATACAGGGAACATGGGTGCAATGCCATCAGTTTGTTAACGCCCGCATCATTTTCACCATGGGTTTGTGCTGATGGATCTCATAGAAGCTATATCAGTTGTTGTGGCTATAGTCACACCTATATTTGTTATAAGTACTATGAAAAGTGCCAACAGTTTTGTTCTTTCCTGTTTGAAATTATCCTACCACATATGTTTACATGAAATCATTCCTTCCATATCATTAACCACATGCCGCCCATCTACTGTATAAATACGACGGCTGGGCAAAAGCACGTTTTAAAACGCGTGCTTTGTAAACAGGTAGGGGGCACGCGCGAGGCGCGCCGCCGCCCTACCTGTCCCGCCGATCACAGCTGCGGATGTCAGTCTCTGGGTCACAGCCCGATCGTTACCGGCTATGTCCCGGCGATTGGTGGCAATCGCTGACAGAGAGCACAGCTGCAGTAGCTGTGCTTTCTGTCAGTTCCCTGACAGCTCCATGACACGCTGATCGGGACAGAAGAGTTTCTCTCTCCCGATCAGCGGTGTTCCCTGCAGTACACACCCCCGCCCCCTAGTAAAACACTCCCCTCACACAGTTAACCCTTTCCCTGAATAATAAACTTAACCCCTTCCTCCCCAGTGCCATTAGTACAGTGTCAGTGGGGTTTTTTTTTTGCCCTGATCACTGTATTGGTGTCACCGGGGATGTCAGTGACCCCAAGTCAGTACCCCCCAATGTCAGAATGTTCGCCTCAGTCCCGCCATAAGTCGCTGATCGCCGCCATAAGTCACTGATCACCGCCATAAGTCGCTGATCGCCGCCATTATTAGTATAAAGAAAAACTAAAAATCCCAGTATCTTTCCCGCCATTTGTAAACGCTATAACTTTCACGTAAACCAATTAATTTACACGTATTG